GTTGCATTCCTGGATTTCTCCCAGGACGAGCTCGGAGACCCCCTGAGCGAGGAAGAGAAGGTAGGAGCACGGCCACGGCGGCTCTGAGGGACCTCCTCCTGTGACCTACACAGACACATTGTTTCCTGAAGCATTCCTGGTCCTTTGCCTCTTGTAGATTATAATCCTTGTCTTCTCTACAAGAGAGATTTAATTTAAAATGAACCTCTGTTCATGTCAGAAATCCATTCTATTGGGTTGGCCAAAAAATTCCTTTGGGTTTTTCCGTAACATCTTGTGGAAAATAGAATTGAGTAAACCCGGGCATCTCCTCTTGAGCTGATAGCCACCCTGGGAGGTGTTCACGCTGGGAGAGTGGGAGTGGCTACCAGGGCTGCTCACGTCCCTTCCCCATTGTCCTTCGCTAATGTACTGGCCTCGGGTCAGCAGTTACAACAGTGTTAGCAGTCCTTTCCTAGCACTTACTGTGTGCCAGAACCAGGGCCACATTTCTTCACTTAAATTACACAAAACCCCTCCAGGCAGGACTGGTCCTGTTTCACTGAGGAGAATAGCATGTGACCCTGAGGTCTGAGAGTGGAAACATGAGCCCATCCGCAGCCTTGGGGCCAGGCCTCCTCTCCGCCATGCTCTGCCCAGGACAGGGTGGCCAGTGCTCCTTCTCGGGGACTTGGTGACAGGCACTACTTTCCCTGCCTCAGACTAGGAGCCTGCCTTCCCGCAAGTGGGCCCGCACCAGTATGTGGGGACAAGAGGCTCTAAGAGCCCAGGGCAGGCGGCAGCTCTCCCCTCAGGGTGCCATTGCTGCTGGGAGACCCCTCTTAGGCTTCTGTACCCCTCGGGCTTCAGAGTCAGCCTTGCTCACCACAGTGGACTGGCCTGGCACCCACGGTCGCTTGTCAGTGGGGGGACAAGTGTGTCCACAGCCCCAGCTCTTCCCTCCACTGGTCACTGTCGTCAGGTGACCTCCCCTCTCCTTAGAGAGTTGTAACCCATCTTGGATGCAGGCAGGGCCCCTGCATTTGAAGAACAGTAGGGCCAAACTCCGAATCCTGCCTTGAGATTCCAGGGGTGCCGGGGAGGGAGTTTTGGCCACAGGCAGGCACTCCAGGTCCTGCGGAGTGGGCCCCAAGGCTGCCTGCCCAGCATCCTTCCTGCGAGGCAGGTGTCCTACTGACCTCTGCTTTGGTCATTAGCACACCATGTGCAAGTCTGCTCCTTGTCACACTGGCCACTCCAGTGTGCTGGGGCCACTGTCCCTGCCCTCACACAGCCTGGCTTGTGGCACAGGGCTGCTGAGACCAGGGAAGGTGGGGCTGGCCCTGCTCAGAAGGGTCAGGACGTGTTGGGGGCAATGCAGGCAGAGAAGGGTTCCCCTAGGCCTGCGTGCCAGGCCTTTCCTTGCTCTCAGGGGCTCTGTTAGCGGCCCCATGGCGACCTCCAGCCACGTGGGGCAGATGGCTGCAGTTGGAGCAGTGAAAGCAACTCTGGGTTTCAGTGTCTGATTCCCAAGAAGCGTTTGGGGTCCTTGGAGTGATTTAATAGCCTTACATTAGCAATTTGAATGTCGTAATTTCAGTTCAGCAAATGTTTGTTGCTGTTTGTTCTGCACCAGACCTGCTGTAGGTGTTTTCCTGAGGGTTACGCATCTACTTTCATCCCTGAAGGCTGTAAACATCGAGGGAGGGTACAAGGCCTCTCCTGAGTCATCTAAATAGGCAAACAGGGTGGGAGGTTTCAGAGAGCCAGCGTCCAGGGCTCCGGGACCCTGCCCAGGGGTCTCTCGCTCTGAGCCGGGGGCCAGCACACAGCTTGCCCACTGGTGTGCAGTGTCCTGGACGGTTTGTTGCACTTCCCTCTCTCTGCCTTCTCTAGAGCCGCATCCATCAGTCCACCTACGGCAAGAGTTTGGCCATCATGACCGAGACCCAGCTCTCCACCGCCGTCATCGAGAACCCCGAGATGCTCAAGTACCAGCGGAGGCAGCAGCAGCAGCAGCTGGACCAGAAAGGCTCTGCGGCCAGAGAGACAGGCTCCGCTACCTCGGTTGCTGGCGTCGTCAACGGGGAGAGTCTGGAGGACATCAGGAAGGTGAGGGCTGGGCCCAGCGGCACTGAGGACACAGACACGTGCCCAGGGGCGGCACAAGGCCAGGAGGGCAAGAGGCCGTCTAGACAGTGCACAGACATGGGCAGGGAGCTGGGAGCCAGCAGGGGGCCACTCGGCCTTATTGCCCTTGTCTGTGTGCGGCAGCAGCGGAGCCCAGGGCACCTTATCAAAGGCCCTGCCCCAAGGAGATCCAGAGGAGAGCATCCTTTGGGGGAACTTCAAACCTCACCTCTAGCCTTTCTAGGAGATTCTAGATACTGAGAACAGTGGATTTCAGGCTCTGCCCTCAAGAGACGTCTGTTGACTCCCCCTTCTTCCTCTGGAAGCCCATGTTTCCCTGGGGGGTCAGCGTGGAGATGGGAAGGGAACAGGACAGATGTTGGGAGCTAAAACCCTCTCCGGGAGCTTGTGCAGGGTGTCACACTCCCCAGGTGGTTCAGACACAGTGTGTGACAAACCCTGGGTTGTGAGCCTTCATTGAAAGAAAGTTTGAAATTGTGGCTTAGAGACAGGGGTCTCATCTGTTAGCTCCCTTGTTTAGCCCCATGGCTGCTGGGTGCGTGTGGCTGGCCGGGCATGTGCTCACTGCTCCGGGAACCTGGCCAAGTGGGAATTGGAGATAGAAAGGAAGATGTTGGAGCTGGTTCACCTGGGAGCGTCTGTCCTTGATGCCTTACTGTCGGGCACACACCCTGATAAAAACGCTTATTCTTTGATGAGTGGCTTAGTTTAGTTGTATCTGAAAGGCCACAGAGGAGTTAGAATACATTTCATTAGAAGTCTTATTTGTTGGTATTCGGAGATTCAGAAATGTTTCCATTCCTTTATGTCTCTCTACTTTGCCAGAATCTTTTAAAGAAACAAGTTGAGACTCGGACGGCAGATGGTCGGAGGAGAATCACGCCTCTCTGCATAGCACAGCTGGACACCGGGTACTCGTTCACTCACCGAGCTTTCTGTGGCCTTCTCTGGGAGGTCTTCCTCTCTCCTTTCGCCAGGTAGCACTATCATAACCAGGACTTCACAGGCTCTTGGGCCAGCCTCACCCACAGAGTCTGGAAGTGAGTTGATTCCAGCTTCCCAGCATCCTCAAAGCCTTGCGCTACTGCAGAGCCCTCTGCATACCTGATGATGGTGCAGGTGGGTGGGGAGGCTGGCCCTGCTTTGTTGAAGATACCAGGGAGAGAAAAATCAGACTGATTTTTTTTCTGTTTCTCTTTCCACTTTTATAGCCTTCTCTTTCTGATTAAGAAAGGAATATGTACACATTGTGGAAAACAGTAAAAGCACAAAGATACGATCACTGTTAACGTTTTGGTGTCCGTATCTCCTGTTTTTTCCTGTATCTTGACCTTGCATCCATTTTAATAACTTCTCTGAAGCATTGGTTTGCTGACGGTCCAGGTGCCCCGCCTGTGAACGCACCATGATTTACTTAACCAGCCCCTTAACTGTGGACGTGTAGTTTGTACAGTGTTTTGTGATTGTAAATGAATCTCTGAGCACACCTATGACTGTTCCCTCAGGACACTTCCCAGAAGTGAACTTGCTGGGTGGGGGGTAGATTTGCCTGATGGAGCAGAGAGGGACAGTGGATTCAGCTGGATTTGTCCTTGTCTTGGCATCTGTCGTCAGGCTTGCTTTTGTATTGGTCATTCTCCCCAAAGTGAGGTATGTTGATTCAAAGGATGATAAGGCTCCATGTGAGAGGAATAGGCCGAACATCAAGATGACTCACTCTTTTCAGCCTGTCTACTCAGGGCATCACGCACAGTAGTCCTCTGCATTTCCCACTAGTTCTTCCATGAGCTGTTCCAAATCTTCCCTCAAGTCTGCGGAGACCTTCAGTCACGTGATGTGCTCATGGCCTCCTCATGTCAGGTGTGCAAGTGCCGAGGCCCTGGAGGGCAGTGACCTGACCAGGTAGAGCCAGAACCAACTTCCAGACTCCTCCCATAGAGTGGTTTTCCCTTGATCAAATCTTTTTCCCATTATGAACCTATGCAGAGAATGCCACCTGCCCACCTTTATCAGAACCAAGTGAAACCAAGTATGTGACAGTGCTTGAACATTTCAGAGCTGATGGGAATGAGGCTTGTAGAGGTGGTGGAAGTGGTGGTGGCACTTCTGTTCTGTGGATCCTTCCAGGCCTCACCTGGTGAGGAGGCAGAGGTGGTAGATGACTTCCTGCCTGGCCTTGAGCCAGCTTTCTGCCATGGGGCACATATTTCTGGCACCAGAACTTGATTCTTTTTTTCCTCTTGATTCCCATGTCAAAACAAGTAGCAATGGAAAAGGTAATTATTAGCTTATCTAATCAAGAAAGAAAAGAGAAGTTGCAAATATTTAAAATAGACATAAATGGGAAATAATCAAAGATGAAGAATAAATCAAACGGGTGAAAGACATCTTTGCTGAACTCTGCAAATAAATTTGAAAGTGAATTATTTGGGGGAAAACAAAAATTACCGAAATTGAAGAAAATCTGTACAGATGAATTATTATAGAAGAAATAGAGGACACTGTCAAAGAGTTAACCTATCAAAGGCCACCAGACTAAGATGGCTTGACAGGAAAATTCTAACAAACTTTTAAAGAACAGCTCATTCTAATACTATTGAAAATATTCTAGTGCTTTGAAAAAGAAGGAAAGCTTGCAAAATCTTTTAATGAACACAATATTGAAATTTCATAATCAAAATGTGACAAAGATATAATAAATTCCTGATCAATCTTATTTCCAAATGTCAATGCAAAATCCTAAAAAAAATCATAACAAACAGAATGTTACAATGTGTTAAAATGCTAATACACTATAAACAAGTAAAATTTATTTCAGGAAAGCAAGATGCTTCAAATGATTTGGGGAAACTTAATTTACTCCTACATGTCAGTAGATCAAAATAAATAAATTATATGATCATCTCTGTAGGTGCTTAAGAGGCATTTTTATTAAACCCAACATCATTGTTATTTAAAACTCAGTTAAATGGGAACAGATAGATGTTTGTAAAACTTGTTAAACTATCTTATTTCAAATTAAATTTAAGAATTGAACATATGTCTACACCTGTGACTGTAATTTAACATTGTTCTAGAGATCCCAGCTCCTATGGTTAGTTAAGAGAAAAAAGAAATTAGAAAGGAGGTGGTAAATGTGTCATTAGTCAAAGGTGGTATAATCTGCAAGAGAATCAACTGGAAAAACCACCATAGACAGTAAAAGAATACAGTGAGATGACTGGGTGCAACATAGCAAGATCAAGTAGCACCAGTTACCTTTAGAAGATGCAAAGGAAGAAATCACTTTCACAGATGTAGTACCTAGAATGTAACAAGAAATGGAGATCTTTATGAGGAAAAAATTTTGAACTCTACTGAGATACCTAAAAGAAAATTCACAGAAATGCATACCATTTATTAGATAGGATGTCTCGATATCATAAAGATGACAAATCTCCCTCAGCCTATAAATGTAACATGAGCCAATACAAATAACCATAGGAGTTTTCAGCGTCAGACAAACTGATTCTGAAGTTCTGTGAAAAAGTACATAGGAGTAGCTAAAATATTTCTGGAAAAGATTAATCAGGAAAGACTAGCCCCACTAGAAATTAAATCTTACAAGCTATAATAATTAAAATAGTGAGGTACTGACACATGAATAGAACAGTGGAATACAATAGAAAACTCAGAAATAGACTCAAACATTTATGAGAACTTTAAAGGTGACATTTTGCATCTGTGATGAATCATTACCTAATTCAATAAATGAAATGAGGAAGTGATACTCTCTAGAAACAAAATTGAAGCCCTACAAGAATATGCAATGGAGAAAAGACAGTTTCTTCAGCAAGTGGTGCTGAGAAAGCTACACAGCTGCATGTAAATCAATGAAATTAGAACACTGCCTCACACCATATACAAAAATAACTCAAGGGCTTCCCTGGTGGCGCAGTGGTTGAGAGTCCGCCTGCCGATGCAGGGGACGCGGGTTCGTGCCCCAGTCCGGGAAGATCCCACATGCCGCGGAGCGGCTGGGCCCGTGAGCCATGGCCGCTGAGCCTGCAAGTCCGGAGCCTGTGCTCTGCAACGGGAGAGGCCATAACAGTGAGAGGCCCGCGTACGGCAAAAAAATAAAAAATAAAAAAAATAATAACTCAAAATGGCTTAAAGACTTAAATATAAAACATGACACCATAAACTCCTAGAAGAGAACATAGGCAGACATTCTCTGAGATAAATCGTACCAATGTTTTCTTCAGTCAGTCTCCCAAGGCAATAGAAATAAAAACAAGGGCTCCCCTGGTGGTGCAGTGGTTAAGAATCTGCCTGCCAATGCAAGGGACACGGGTTTGAGCCCTGGCCCGGGAAGATCCCACATGCCACAGAGCAACTAAACCCATGTGCCACAATTACTGAGCCTGAGCTCTAGAGCCTGCAAGCAACAACTACTGAGCCCATGTGCCACAACTACTGAAGCCTGCGCGCCTAGAACCCATGCTCCGCAACAAGAGAAGCCCACGCACCACAACAAAGAGCAACCCCCGCTCACTGCAACAAAGACCCAACACAGCCAAAAATAAAAAATAAATAAATTTATTTTTAAAAAGAAATAAAAACAAAAATAGATAAACGGAACCTAATCAAACTTACAAGCTTTTGTACAGCAAAGGAAATCAGGAACAAAATGAAAAGACAGCCTACAAACTGGGAGAAAATATTTGCAAATGATGCGACCGACAAGGGCTTAATTTCAAAAATACAGGAACAGCTTATACAACTCAATAATTTAAAAAAAACCCAATCGTGGGCTTCCCTGGTGGCGCAGTGGTTGAGAGTCCACCTGCCGATGCAGGGGACACGGGTTCGTACCCTGGTCCGGGCAGATCCCACATGCCGTGGGACGGCTGGGCCTGCACATCCGGAGCCTATGCTCCGCAACAGGAGAGGCCACAACAACAATAACAACCAAAAAAAAAAAAACCCAATCGAAAAATGGGCAGAAGACCTAAACAGACATTTCTCCAAAGAAAACATACAGATGGCCAACAGAGACATGAAAGGATGCTCAACGCCACTAATTATTAGAGAAATGCAAATCAAAACTACAGTGAAGAACCACCTCGCACTGGTCAGGATGGCCATGATTAAAAAGTCTACAAGTAACAAATGCTGGAAAGGGAGAAAAGTGAACCCTCCTACACTACTGATGGGAATGTAAATTGGTGCAGCCACTATGGAGAATAGTATGGAGGTTCTTCAAAAAACTAAAGTAGAGTTGCCATGTGATCCACCAATCCCACTCCTGGGCATATATCTGGAGAAAGCAATAATTCAAAAAGATACATGCACCCCAATGTTCATAGCACACTATTCGCAATAGCTGAGACATGGAAACAACCTAAATGTCCATCGACAGATGAATGGATAACGAGGATATGGTTTATATACAATGGAATATTACTCAGCCATAAAAAAGAATGAAATAATGTCATTTGCAGCTACATGGATGGACCTAGCAATGGTCGTACTAAGTAAAGTAAGTCAGAAAGAGAAAGACAAATACCATATGATATCACTTATATGTGGAATCTAAAATATGACACAAATGAACCTATCTACAAAATAGAAATAGATGCACAGACATAGCGGACTTGTGGTTGCCAGCGGGGAGGTGGTGGGGGAGGGATGGATTGGGAGTTTGGGATTAGCAGATGCAAACTATTATATATAGGATGGATAAACAACAAGGTCCTACTGTGTAGCACAGGGAACTGTATTCAGAATCCTATGGTAAACCATAATGGAAGAGAAGTGTGTGTGTGTGTGTGTGTGTGTGTGTGTAACTGAATCACCTTGATGTATAACAGAAATTAACACAACATTGTAAATCAACTATACTTCAATAAAATAAATTTAAAAAAACATTTGGAGCCCTATCTCACGCATTAAAATTTTGCACAGCTCAGAAATTTTTCAGAGAACATTCTGAACATCTTAGAGATTTTTTTTTAATGTTTAACTTTTTTATTATTTAAAATTTTAGAATATTCCATAGAAGAATACTTTCATAATCTCAGAGGTAAAAAAAGTCTTCAAAACACAACATCCTGGGGAAGATATTTCCTGTCCATATAGGAATTTTTGAATATGTAAATAGGTCTTAACAATCAATAATAAAGACCAATAACCAAATAGAACAGTGGATGACAGATATGAACAAACAGCTCCCAAAAAAGGGAAATCAACTGTTTCTAGATGAAAAAATTTCAACCTTGCATCAAAATAATGGCAAATTAAAATTGTAGTAAGATACTATTTTTCATCTCTCAGATTATCAGGTACCAAGAAGTTGATAAAGGGCTTCCCTGGTGGCGCAGTGGTTGAGAGTCCGCCTGCTGATGCAGGGGACACGGGTTCGTGCCCCGGTCCGGGAAGATCCCACATGCCGCGGAGCAGCTAGGCCCGTGAGCCATGGCTGCTGAGCCTGCGCGTCTGGAGCCTGTGCTCCGCAACGGGAGAGGCCACAACAGTGAGAGGCCTGCGTACCGCAAAAAAAAAAAAAAAAATTGATAAAACCGTTGATGAGAGTTTGGGGAAATAGGCACCCATGCACGGCTTGTGAGGTGAACCTCAAAGCAGGGCCCTTGCGAACTATTTATCCAAAATCATCGATGAACATTCCATTTGCTGCTGCAGTTCCTTCTAGGAATTTATCCCAAGTAACGTATGAAACAAGTGGGATGACAATTACAACAGCAGGCGTCTCTGTGTGTGCCCTGTGTCATGCGCTACAGGAAGTACGTTAGTCCAGACAGCAGCCTCATGGGGAGGGTCCTGTCATCTCTTTTGCAGACATGGTGGCTGAGGTGCCCAAGGCCTCAGAGTCTGTGCATGGCTGAGCCATGATACCCAGGGCCCTGAGCCGGCACACTGCAGTGTTTGTTACAGAAACACTGGGAAACTGTCCAGCTGTTCCTCACGAGAGGCTGGTTAGGTAAACCATGGCATGTCCACGCTGCCCATAATGAAAGGGAGGCCCACTCTGCACTGTGTTCCCCCAGCCCCAAGACACATTTGCACATGGTAACACCTCTTGAGATCAGGGTGCATCTTATCAGTGACACCTGACAGTTATAATCGGTCATAGTTTTTTTCTTTCTTAGTGGTATATAAAGTACCAGTTCATCTTAGATCTAATTAAATGTAGTGTATGAAGTGATTTTAATTTCCTTTTTACTTTTCTGTAACTTGCACAGAAATTCTGCCATGAAAATACATTGCCATTGGACCCAGAAAAAAATTTGCTTAGAATGTGTAAGTACTCAACATGGTGCTCGACGTCCAAGGCTGACTTTTCTCCTTCTCGACAACAGGGACTTCTCCACGGCCTTCTTCAACAGCATCCCGCTCTCGGGTTCCCTGGCAGGCACCATGCTCACCTCTCACAGCAGCCCGCAGCTGCTGCCGCTGGACCCCAATACCCCCGTCCCCTTCGGCACCTCGAAGCCTTCCACAGAGCCTGTGGCGGCGACCGGCACCAGGCCTGCAGGTGATTCTGTCAGTAAGGACAGGTGAGTAGGTGCCAAGCTTGTACCTGGGCAAGTGCGGTTTGGACAGTTCCAGGGATACTTCGTGGCCTCTTCAGTAAAGAAAAGAGACAGGTGCTTGGTTTCAGATGAGGGCCTGCTCAGAAGGGAGCCTTGATCAGGAGAGTCTGATGATTAGGGCCCTGAGGACTTCACGTCCTGGGGGAAGATACAGTCCCAGGATGAGACACGTCACCTGTCACGGGGCCAGCCCACCTTCGGCCGGCCTGCTCGTGTGCCACTGCACAGACTCCCCTTACACTCAGAATACATTTGCTCGGGGAGCCCATGTCTTCACTGGCCATCACCTGGAAACCAAACTAGAAGTCTGAAAGGACCAGAGGAGCATGACTAAGAGCCAGGAGCCATTTGCCCAGCGCCTGCTCTGAGTGACAAGCTGTGCCAGGCCTGACGTCTGCAGGGGTTGATTGGTGGGTCCTCATCTCCGGGGAGGATCTAGGCTGGTAGGGGAAGAGGTAGCCACAGGGGTGCGGGGCTGACCCTCTGAGGGCCTTGGCAGGCAGGTCTCAGGAAGGCTTCTCAATTAGGCTGAGCCAGGGGACAGGGCTGGGGAGTAGGGGCAACAGCGAGAGCAGAGGCCTGGAGCCTGAAGAGTGGTGGGCGAGGGGAGGAAGGCTGGCTTCTCCCTGGAGTGGACACACAGGCGCTGGGACTTGAACCTTAGGAAACGACCAGCAGTGGGGCCCAAGTTTAGCTGCTGCACTGGCACACAACTGACACTGTCAACGTGACCCTCCATCACTAGGGACAGGGCCGTGCATTATCACAGCTCCTGCCTCTGGTGTCGATGGCTGTGGAGGCATGTGCCAGGCTTCGAGTGTCCCCTCTCCCTTGAGGGAAGAGAAGGGTATGGAGCAGCAAGACCAGTCAGGAAGCAGAGCATTGGGAGGAAGGGTGTCTGGGGAAGGACAGGACGCCAGGTTTGCAAAATGTTCAACAGTTGGCCGTGTAGGTCCCAGGAGAGGAGGGGAGGGTCATACAAGTGCCTGTGGGCATCTGGCCTGGGGTCCAGTGGCGGGGAGGGCAGTTAGCCCAGATGTGGGCAGAGGAGGCCCCATGGCTTTGACCCAGCGTGTGGGATGTGCTGGGACAACGGAGCTGGCAGGCTCCAGCCTGAGCTCCCTTTCTTCTGTGGAGTCAGAGACATAGGGAGCACTTGGAGGAGAGCATAAAGGGTGTGTGATTGTCCCTGTGAGACCGTGGTCAGAGCTGGTGGTCAGAGCGGGTTGGGTGGAGCTGCTGTATTCAGGTTGTGGAGACAGAGCTCTATGGTGAGGAAAAGGGGGTTGTAGGAACCGCTGTTGAGGCCTCGTGCTACCCCCAGAAGCTCTGAGAACACTAAAGTGGTACAGGTGTGAGTGCATTTGCTCACAGTCTTCTCAGAAAGCCAAACTCCCAGAACTTAGTGAAAGTATTAAAGAAAGTTGGCAATAGTCGATTACGTCTTGAAATTATTTATGGAAGTTTGATATTTGTGCCCCATTCACTTGGCTCCAAGCCCCACAAATCCCGGACTCCCGGATCCTCAGTGGGTTGTGCTGATGTGGCCTTCCGTCTCCACCCCACCCCCAGCGTGAATGCGGCCTCTGCTCCCGCTGCACCGTCCCCCTCCATCCTCACAACCCCGTCCAAGATCGAACCTATGAAAGCATTTGACTCCCGATTCACGGAGCGCTCCAAAGCCACGCCGGGAGCTCCTGCCTTGGCCGGTTTGACCCCGACAGCTATGGAAAGGTAGGTGGTGGCTGTGTGGGGCCCCAGAGATGGGGAGGGTACAGACTTGGGCCAGCCGTGCCATGTCCGCCTTCCTGTGAGGATGCAGACTCCTGTCCCTCTGTATTCAGGAGCCACCACTCAGGAGAAAGGTGTGGCTGCTTCACGGAGCCATGGGGTGGGGATGGGGGACCAAAGGGCAGAGGCACGAGGGCTGGTGGGTGCAGAGGCTGTGCTGAGATGGTCAGAGGGTGGAAAGCTCTGGTCCTGGCTTTCTGCTCAGACACTGACCAGGAGGTCGGGAGCTGAAATTAAAGTGATGGAGGGGAGGCCTCTGTGAGGTCCAACGGGCTTCTGAGCCCCTGCAGCATGTCCTCTGCACCTTCCTGAGTACAGGCAGCAGTCATGGGGGGGGCAGGAGTCCTCCTGAGGAGCCACACTGAGTGTTTCAGCCTCTGCTATTGACACAGAGCTTCTCTGCCTCCTGGGAGGGCCTCCTGCCGAGCCCGCTGTGGCACAGAGCTCACTGCCTGGTCCAGCAAGTCGAAGGCTGGGAGAGTCTGAGGGGGGGCCGGGCCACCTTCCTCCACATGGGCCAGGGCCTTGAGTGCCAACCTGGAGCTGTGACCCACTGCAAGGTGATTGGGCTCAGCGTTACCATTAGCCACATCAGGGACCTGGGCCAGAGCCTCTTGCAGGAACCACATGGCCAGAAGGTGCCCAGTGGAGGGAGCATCTGGGATGAGACCTGTCCTTGCCCTGGACGGTGTCTTTGAACTAAAGCCACACTGTACTGTCCCCGGGGCTTCACCCATGTTCTCGAAACTGCTTGTCTGAGTGGGATTCGTCCTTGGAGAATAGGCCCCAGAAGCCAGCATGGGACAGCTGTCCCTTCAGGTCAGCGGTGACTTTGGCGTGGGGTCTGCAGTGTGGTCACGTCTGTTTTATACAGGTGTTTCATGTGATCTTTTTACCCAGCAATTTTTCTGCCCAGCAATATAGAGGATCTGAAAACTCCTTGCTGCTAAACATTGTGAAATGCTGGATGAAACGTAACATGTCCCTAAAGTATGTGACTAGTTTACAAGAAAGTAAGTGAAGTCCCTAGGAGCCAAAATCTAAGAGTGAACAAAACAATCAGAGTAGTGGGTGTTAGGCCAGGAGGTTACTGGCCTGGTGAACAAGGACCTTGAGTTTTAATGGCCACACAGATTTGAGACAGGGCCTTAGGCCTGAGCCACGTAGGGATTGGAACCTAAGACACTAGCATGAAGTCAAGCTGCTTAAAAAAGTGTACCTCCAGTGAGAGGGGGACTAGAAGAAACCTGACAGCACAGGAACATGGCCAGAGCCTGGAATGTCTCAGCCTGCCCTCTGAGTTAGGAAAACAGTCTTCCCCTGAGGCTGTGTCACCACAGGCCTGCCCTCAAGTGGATTGGAGGTCACCTTAACACTACCTCTGTCATCTGGAAATCACCAAGCCAAGAACTGGACACAAAAGAAAATTCTAGTCTAATTAACACCCCAGAGGCATTTGGCAAAGCAAATATAAATCCATCCTGACCCCAGGGGGTACTGTGTTCCCACTAAAGAAACACTGCGTGAGATGACTCAGAATCCAAAGGAACAAAGCCCGTGAAGAAACCCTGATCATCCACGCATGTCAGGAGCAGAAGGTGTAGACCTCTGTACCTCTGATGGTAGATTGTCAGATGGTGGCTGTAAAATAAACACGCGTAAGATGGTCAAAGACAAGAAAGATAAAACGTGAGGAAAGATTCGTATACTATCCCGTGTATAAAAATTAACTCAAAATGGATTGAAGAACTAAATGTAAGAGTTAAACTGTAAAACTCTTAGAAGAAAACATAGATGTGACCTTGGATTAGAAAACTGTTTCTTAGATGTGACACCTAAAACACAAGCAACTAAAGAAAAATTAGAAAAATTGGGCATCATCAAAACTTAAAACTTTTGTGCTTCAAAGAGCACTGTCAGCAGAATGAAAGGACAACCTACTAAATGGGAGAAAATATTTGCAAATCACATCTGAGTGAAGAGCTCTTATAGCTCAACAGTAAAAAGAGTAATAACCCAGTTTTAAAATGGACAAAGGATTTAAATAGACATTTCTCCAAAGAAGATACACAAACAACCATAAGCACATAAAAAGACATTCAACATTAGTCATCAGAGAAATGCAAACCAAAGCTACAGTGAACTACCACTTCGCACCCACTAGGATCCGTGATCAGAAAGTCAGATAATAAGAAGTGTTAGGATGGGGAGAAATCAGGACCCTCGTAGATTCTGGTGGGATTGTAAAATGGTTCAGCTGGTTTAGAGGACAATCTGGCGTTTCCATAAATGGTTAAAATAGTTACTGTCTGAGCCAGCAATCCCACACCTAGGTAGATACCCAAGATAACTGAAAACGTATTCATGTAAAAACTTGTAGACAAAAGTTCATATCAGGGGACTTCCCTGGTGGTCCAGTGGTTAAGAATCCACCTTCCAATGCAGGGGACATGGGTTCGATCCCTTGTCAGGCAACTAAGATCCCACATGCTGTGGGGCAACTAAGCCCGAGTGCCGCAACTAGAGAGCCCATTTGCCGCAAATACTGAGCCTGCACACCACAACTAGAGAGAAGCCTGCATGCTGCAATGAAAGATCCACATGCCACAATGAAGATCCAATACAGCCCCCCAAAAAAGTTCATATCCATATTATTCATAATAGCAAAACAGTGGAAATATCCCAAATGTCCGTCGATTGATGAATGGATTTTTAAAATGTGGTACATCCATACAATATATCAATAATATTATTTGGCAATAAAAAGGAATGGAATGCTTATACATGCCACAACAGGGAAAAACCTTGACAACGTTAATGCTAAGTGAAAGAAGCCAGTCACAAAGGACCACATGTTATATGATTCCATTTATATTTGATTCCAGAATAGGCAAATCCACGGAGACAGAAAGTAGATGAGTGGTTGCCGGGGCAGGATGGGGTGAGTGCTGATGGATACAAAGTTTCTTTTTGGGATTATGAAAATGTTCATGGCTTAGCGGTGCTGATTGATGGCCTTATGAATATACTAGAAACTACTGTTTCTAGTACTTTAAAATGGTGACTTTTATAGTATGTGAATTATAGCTCAGTAAGAAATAATACACCATCAAAAAGACCAGATAGATTTGGGAATGAACCCAAAAATACTTTTGGAAAAAAATAATAATAATCATGGCAATTGAAGAGTCAGCGGACGGAATTCCCTTGCAGTCCAGTGGTTAGGACTCAGTGCTTTCACTGCCAGGGGCCCAGGTTTCAATACCTGGTCGGGGAACTAAGATCCTGCAAGCCACGCGTCCAAAAAAAAAAAAAACCTCAGTGGGCATATTTGACAGCAGAGGAGGCCCAGCTGAGGAGCGCATTTGATCTGAGGAAATGGCCTGGGTGCCACAGAGGTGAAGAGGTGGAGCCCAAGGAGGAGTGTCTGGAGGGCAGAGGGTAGGGTCTGCATGCACATAACAGGAGTTCCCCAAAGAGGGCGGGCTGTGGGGCATTGGTCAAGAGGGAGTGGCCGATGTTTCATAGGCTTAAGCAAGTATTGAAATCTCAGTTTTGGAAATGGAGTGAGCTCTGAATAGCCAGAATAAAACACAATCTCCACCTTAGTGAAACCACAGGGCACCATAGCTAGGAATTCCTTCTGTTCACTGAGGAAAGATGTTCACCTTGTATATCTCCATGGCCCTTATCGCTGTCAATTCCTAGCTCTCAGGGAGTGCAGACCCTGCTTTGAGAAGTGCAGAGGCTACCCCTTGAATCAGGCTGCTAGAGGGCAAAGTCTTGATGCATGACCTGGGCCCGATGCCACCAGGGATTGTCCCTCAGTAGTGTGTTACCCACATCTCATAAGGCCTTTCAGCCACACATACAGCTCCAGTATCTTCTTTGGAGAAATGTCTATTTAAATCCTTTGTCCATTTTAAAACTGGGTTATTACTCTTTTTACTGTTGAGCTATAAGAGCTCTTCACTCAGATGTGATTTGCAAATATTTTCTCCCATTTAGTAGGTTGTCCTTTCATTCTGCTGACAGTGCTCTTTGAAGCACAAAAGTTTTAAGTTTTGATGATGCCCAATTTTTCTAATTTTTCTTTAGTTGCTTGTGTTTTAGGTGTCACATCTAAGAAACAGTTTTCTAATCCAAGGTCACATCTATGTTTTCTTCTAAGAGTTTTACAGTTTAACTCTTATATTTAGTTCTTCAATCCATTTTGAGTTAATTTTTATACATGGGATAGTATACGAATCTTTCCTCACATGGGATAGTATATGAATCTTTCCTCACATCAAGTTTGCCATTCTCAGCTTCTCCCTTGAAAAGGCAGTGAATAAATAAAAGAATCAAAAACCCCAAAAAATAAGAAAGTGACAGTGTTATTAAGTGAGTATTCGCTTAGGGCCAAGCTTCCTGCTTCTGAGGCAGCAGGAGGGTCTGGTATCAGGCACAGTAAGTTCACCTCCTGAACATCCCTCTTTCTTCAGCTGTTTATCCCTCCCTCTGTCCTCCCTGAATACCTGAAAACCATTGATCTTTTTACTGTCTCTACAGTTTTGCCTTTCCTAGAATGTCATATAATTGGAAACATACTATACCTAGCCTTTTCAAATGGGTATCTTTTACTTAGTAATATCCATTTAAGGTTCCTCCATGCATTTTCATGGTTTGATAGCTTATTTCTTATTATTAACAGATCTTATCCCATTGTATGGATGCACATAGTTTGTATGTACCACAGTTTAAGCATTCCCCCATTGAAGGACATCGTGGTTGCTTCCATTTTTTGGCAATTATATGTAGATGATGTATAAAACTGCTGTCAGTACTCACGTGTAGGTTTTTGTGTGAATATATGTTTTCATCTCCACTGGGCAGATACCTAGGAGTGCAATTGCTGGTTGGTATGGTAAGACTAGGTTTAACTTTGTAAGAAACTGCCAGAC